TCTTTGCCCGTCTATAGTGGTGGTGAAATCACCGTACGTTTGCTCATGAAATTGGCGTAATAACCTTTCGTGGAATTTCCCTTTTTAGTATCCATTATTGCGATTCCATACTCATTACCGTACTGTTTTGGAATTGTTGTTTTTTTTTTAATTTTCAAATGGTATCACTTTCGTCGTACCTTCTTTACTAAATCTTTCTATTAAGACGTCAGCTTGAAAATAATTGTTTAATCTATGTTCAACCTCTGAAATTTGATCTGGTTTGGGTAATTGATGAGAACAATGTCCCCTCGCCGTAGTTCCTAGTCCTTTTAGCAAATGTCCCTATTTGCCTCTGTTCTCATTGCTTTGCCACTCGTAATTTGTTATTTAGCCTTGGAAACAAGCCATGCCCTGTTCCGTTCTCATGCCTGTAGGTGGACCGGGACCTATCGCAATACCACGCCCCCATGCCCGAGTTCGCTCATTGTGTCATTGGTCTGGAGAGCTGTGGTTCCAAAGACCCTCAGTTCGTCGCTTCATGTCTCCTGAATTCCCTTCTTGGTGGTGGAGGCTCCTTCTCTGCCGGTGGTCCGGGAAAAGGCATGTACTCCCGCCTCTACACCAACGTTCTCAATCGGTAATTTCATGCAATTTCTCGGCTTACACACGAAATATGAGTTTAAACGACAGTTGTTTGCACCGCGAGCTATGCGTTCTCAAAACTCTCAACCCTACATCGACTTAGGTTTTGAAAATACTTTTTCACTATCTTCTCACTTTGAAGATGCACTCAGTTTCTGGGCTCCGTTCGTGGTTTTGCTGCAAAACTTATTCGGAAATACTGCTGCTTCCTCAGTATTGAGAAGAGATGCAGGCGAACGATTTGTTTTTTTAATGTATCTTGTTTCAATACTGCTATCAATTCGCAGTAGAAAGCTTTCGTGGCAATTAAAGCGGACGATTCGTTACCATCTTAACCATAGATATCGTCTTTTGGTGCTTTGATGTGCAAAATAATTCCACGATGGCAAGGATTAAAACCGCACTTTAATCTACGCAGCTTACTTTTCCAACGAAGAGTGTTTTTTAGTAGCTTAGACATGGGATCATTGAAATGCACAGAGCCGCGGCTTTTCACTAAGACTTACTCGAATTGGCATCACTAGGCGGGGCAACAAATTACCGCTTTAGCATGTCATTCGCACTAGCGTCTCAGAAACTTGCTCGCCTTTTCCATGCAGACACCACTGGGTAAACTCAGCA